GTTTTATTTATCCGATATTAAGATGGAAAATCCCCCAAAAGACGACAGCATCACAAACACAGCCGAGCAGACGGCTAACGGCTAAACACCGAGCGGCTAGCCCACTGTGACGACATCTACCTGTCACTCAAAGCGGCCACCATCTCAATTATGAATAATTTAAATAATGATAAAAAATAAAAATTTTAACTTGTGAGTAATATAAAAATTCACCCACCATACAATTGTCATAGCTACAGAGACCAAAACCGTTTTTTGTACCAGGCTGTAAACACGTTTATTTCTGCTGTAAAGTTGCGCATTTTAACAAGGGAGTCTATGGGGATTGACTCGCTATTGGAGACAGCCTCAAGTGGCCATTAGAGGAACTGCAGATTTTGGAACTTCCGTGTTGGCGCCATTTTTTTGTTGTTGCCATGGTCACAGCTTTCATGTTTACCCTGATTACACCTGGGCACCTTGTAAATGACCATCAAGAACACCTTCATGGCCACCAGCAGTTCTTTTACTTTCACTTAAAAGAACTTAATTTTACTCATATTCGCAAACTGAAGAATCAATGCTATTTACAAAGATTTTTTTATTAGCCTACTTAAAAATGTTTTTAAATGTGGTTTAGAGTAGATCTTCAATGCCTGCAGTACAGAAACAGAGCCAAGCACATCTGTTTTCTGCCTGATCATGATAATAATAGTAAATCTAAAAAAGTTATAATTAAAAATGCTCATGCAGAATAACATAACACAATATAAACTGCATGATTTTTTTTCAAGTTTGATTAATACAGGCCATGGTGCTGAAGCCAGGTCATAAGGGGCAACTGCAAGGTCAGAGGGGTCACTATGGTATTAAAAGCGTTGAACCTCATCATTAAGCTCTTCATATACCTTTACCTTCATTTACCTAAGCCTCGAAAATCGTGATGTCAAGATACAGAGAAATACACAGAGTTAAAAAGTTCAAAGAGGACAATACTCTGCTGATTTTGAGATTGTGTTGTAGATCATTTTTGTGTGTTTATATACATTTGCTTCATTTGGTTTTTAATCAAGCAAAGACAAAGACAGATTTGAACCTAGTGAGGTGACATCATATGTTTCTTTTGAAATTATCCATCAAACCCTTTAGATGAGTTATTGATTTACTAATAGGTGTGTCCTTTGATACCTGAGAATGGCTTACTACCTACACACTTTCACACAGACCTACGCAGTCTGGCACACACACACTTTGCCGACAGCTCATGCAGGAGATGACAGGGCCTGGTTACGGTAATAACCCTCCTGCTATCGCACGCCCATGCGTCTGCAGCATAGCCTGTAAATCTCACTCTGTTATTGTTTTAATAACACTAATGTTAGCATTAGCCAAGTGGTAAAAACGTCAGACATCAAAGACCAGAAACATCTGAGCTATATTGGGGTGAAGACAAAGGGCGACGGCCCAGCTTGTGAAAATAGCTGGCCATGCTGACTCAGCAGAGGAGTGTGTGTGTGTGTGTGTGTGTGTGTGTATGGTTGTGCCTGTATGTGTGTTTGTTGATGTGTGTGGGCACAAATTCATACATTGATAGCGAGTGTGTGTAAGTACGTGGATATTTAAATGTGTGTAAGCAACCTGACTACACATAACAAAGCCCTGCAGCTGCTCGGCTAAAACTGACTTCTCCATTTCCTCCAGACCACAAAGCCTCATAAAGCTAAGCACCCATAGTTAGCTTAATGCCATTAACATCCATATTGATGCTCCTGGTGCTTCTTATTGGGGGAAAGCACCCTGGTATTTTCCAACACATGACTTTTGTTTTTCTGAATCAACAACTCCACCTTCTCCGCTGTAGCCACAGGGAGAGGAGGCTCTGAAATCACGTCTGATGGAGATGCAGCATCATAAAACCATAGAAGACGTGAATAAAGTCCCACATATACTTTCCACTGGAGCTCGTTTGCAGCACACCGTCATGGAATATCTAAAGGAGTGAAAACACAAAGTCAGCAGTCCATTTTATGCCCTGTTGTGTGAGTTAAATCCATACCTACTTTGACATGGACTGGGCCAGTGCTTTTCATTGCCATTGTGTTGTTACATATGTGAGTAATAAAATCAGCCGGTAAGTTCTCCACTTCTGCCAAATGGGCCTATTTTATGGAGCAAGTGAAACTTCTTTGTCTTTGTATGTGTGTGTTGAGTAGGAGTATATATGTGTGTGTGTGTGTGTGTGTGTGTGTGTGGATGTGAGTGTATGTGTTGAGTAGGAGTATATGTGTGTGTGTGCATGTTAAGGGTGGGGGTCCAGTGGACGCCAAGCTCCCCATAATGTTTACTGACACAACACATTTTAATGGTTTCTGTCCAGTGCCAAGAATTGAGAAATCAAGTCACTTCAAAAGGGTGCCACACTATATTGTTTACACTCATGGCTTGGGCTGTTTAAATCTGAACCAGAGGAGCCCTATGGACACCACAGCTCAACTGTTCTGTTGTTGCAAAACTCTGTGCAAGTATTGTTTGTTATTTGCATAGAAAACTTCTCCAAAAACATCATTTTACTGAACAATTTCCTTTAAAATGGCTGATTAAATATTACACCTTTGCAGCCGGATCAGCCAACTTGAGAGAATATGCCAATGTAAACCATGTCAAAACTTGAAAACTAATCAGCGCTGTTTGCACCTCAGCCAAGGGTTTCTCCTCAGACCCCAGATTTTATTTCAGACTCTCAGTAACGTTTGAACAATGAGCTGAAAGACGTGTGAGGTCCCGGCGTACAGCGCAAACGTGTGAACCTCAGCCATTCTCTGGCCATATGCTGGTGAACGCCCAAAGTTCAGACAATAGAGGAATTGTTTGGCTCGGGGTCCGGCATTAAAACCGTTTTCTCTCTTCTCGCACACGCCGTGGGGCTTCATGGGATAACCCATCGCCACCATGATCAGCACAGCTTACACACATTACAGTGAAGTAATGAAATTCTCATCATTATTCCCATCATGCATGTCTGTTTCTTGTTTATTGTGCAGGTCGCTCTGTGCTGCTGCGCTCCAAATGTCTGCTGTGAGTTAGCAGCAGTGCAGTGGGCGGTTTCTCTACACAACCTATCTCTGTAATGAGCCGGTGGGGCCGCTCGGCTCTGACCGGGGTAAAGGAACAGCGTGACTTCACTCTTTTTGGCCACAGCGGTGTTGAATTTTCCAAAGATTGTGGAGATTATCAAATCGCACATCACAATAATATTACAGCCGGGGTGGCCTGTTCTTCAGCTTACAGTTACAGCGCGAAGAGACTGCGACCTAGTGCTGCCAAGTTTGATAACGGATAACGTCAATACACATTAAAACACTGTTACAAAAGTAGTTTTTTTTTTATTAAAACATAGACAAACATAAATAAAAAGAACACTGAATTAAATCATATGAAGACTTTTACAGGTATGCTACAATCTTGTAGAAGAAACAATGGTAACACTTTATTTTGATAGTCCGCCTACACAGAGTTTATAGCGTATTTGTGACATCTCAACAGGTTATTGAGCTCGAACACCAACTCTGACCATTAAGTGCTTTACTAACTGGTTGGTTGAATATTTGTAGTAACAGACGGGTGACAAATTAAAGGAAAAACCAATGCTCCTTAGCATTGAAGCTAACATGTTGCTCCAAAGGTGTTCACTTGGGTTGAGATCTGGTGACTGCGGAGGTCATAGCACGTGATTCACACCATTCAGATCATGCAGATGTGGAGGCATCTGCATTTGCTCTTTCTCTCATTTATTCAGATTCTTCCTTTAATTTGTCCTCCGTCTGCACCTTGTTGAACATTAGAACAAATATCGTTGAAATGTTATAAATACTGTGTCAACTCTTTGTAGGCAGACTGTCCAAATAAAGTGTAACCAAAACACTATATCCATATTGCTTTTGGCTAGGCAAGTGCACACAGAATTGTCAAAATCATGATACATAAATATGGAATTTAAAATGAAGCCCCTGTGTTTTAATAAGAAAAAAAAGCGTGTCTACTATTTCCTCTAAGTGCTGCGTAATGAATGTCGTACAGACATAAAATATAAATGATTTTTTACAGCTGAAAGGTCACTGTAACAATGACCTGTCTCTGTTTCTTCTATAGCTAATAAATAAATATTTAGTGCATATTCCCATTTACCTCAGTGAAGAGCCAAATGAAAAAAAAAAACAAAACAGAATTTAAGTTAAAAGATGAACCAAACTCAATTCGGTTCCTCTAGTTAAAGAAGACAAAAGAGTCTATTCGTGTCATTTATGGTCAGACAGTCCAGCTATCTGCATCGCTTGTTGATCGTCATAAACATAAACACGTCACTTCCTCCTTAGTTTGAAATGACACTGTCGTGTGATTGCCTTCAGTGAAGCAGGCCACTCGTTAGATTTCATCAGAGACAGAAAACTGGTTAACAAATGAGTTCTGGGAACGCGCACACGCACACACACGCACAAACACACACACACACACACACCCTTTTTTTTTTTTAAATTGATTGAAAAAGAAAACAAACAATGTCAGAGTGAAAGTGAATCTTCCACGGCATCATGTTTCAATGGTGCCTCAGAGATTTCGAGGGTGTGATAAATCACCATCTAACTGGTTGTTTCAACTGATGCTGTTGAGTTACTTACTGTTTGGACGCCTCACTGCCTGCCCTGTTCACACTTACAAAACCTTTCAGGAAAACATTTGTGCATTCACTGCCACGGGTCAGAGACAGGCCGGGAAGTCTTGTTATTTTTATCCGGTGATAATCTGCTAAGTACAAGCAGATGCTCCATCAGCTACAGTGTTCTTTTTGGACATTCCCCCCCATCACCAATAAACATTGATAAATCCTTTCTCGCTGCACCTCTTGCCAACAAACTTACTTCCTCAGTTGCTCCCTCGTGGTTTGTTTAATTAGTGCACAAACACATGTTGTAATCTTAACTGAAATGTATTGAAATTTCCCAATACAAACCGCAGTTAAAAAACAAAAAAAAAAAAAGTCCAGTGCTATTTTGGATGAAGTTGAGAGCTGTGTGTCTCATCTCTTTTTTTTTTGCAGGGGGCAAGTGGCAAAACAAGTTTTTACCTTTTCCTTAAGTTTTTCTCATGAAGGACTCCAAGGCTATTTGGTGAAGAGCAATGTAAAAAAAAACAAAAAAATCATTAACACATGTACAATATAAAAAGACACTTTTTTGACAAACCAACATTGTAAATCACTAACAGTGGTTCTTTGGCATATCAAATGTTCAGTAGCATGTCCGCTCCCCACGTGTTTCAATTTCAGTTACCCAACTTTATGGCCCCAAAGTACGTCCCTTCTCCCTCCAGGTCCAGCATCCAAGCATTGGACACGTTGACAAACAAGGCGTCTCCCTCCTCCAGCTGGACGCCTCGGCCCTGCTGGGCGCAGTACATGTTATAGCTCGTGTCGTTCCAGCGCATGGTGCTGCCCGTCTTCATCAGCATCACGGCCTTGTTCCACTTGATGCTCTCGTGGTAGACGTACTGGATGAGCTGGGTGTTGCTAACGTCCACCGGCGGGATCTCGGCCTGACTGCTGTCCTCTGGTATACGGTAGTAGCGGAAGCAGGTCTTGGCGTAAACGTAGTAGAAACCCGGCTCTATCACCAGCAGTTTGCCCTTCTGGTAGCCCATCTTGTGGTGGTATCCGTGCTTCTCCTCCCAGTCGATGGTTATGGCCTGCCGCACATCCTCTGCTTGGCAAGAGAAACAACACAAGTTTTGGTAAAGCTCATCGTCCATTAATCTTTTATTGATCTATAATAAACTAAACAAAAAAAATGAGTCAGACTGATTTTTTTTGGCACAAGTTCAAACTAGTGATTTACTAAATCAGGTTGCAACACTATAGTTAGGAAAGACTTATTTCTAAAATATATAAACAGACCATATGACAGGCTTTATGGAGCTTTACAGTGAGTTTCAACTGTCCAGACACAACTGTACTGTCCTGGTTCATGCTTATCAGTCAGAGAGCAGCTGGAGCATTTAGCAGCTAAAAAGCCAGATATTTTCCTTGGGAGCTGGTGGAGACCAAACACAGAGCTGAAACAGAGGGAACACTGAATGCTTAGATTCATCAGGTGGAGACAAACACCCCTCCATAGTGAATGTTAACGTTGCTCCGTGTCTTCTGGTTTCTTGCCAGGAGCAGGTGGTGGTGATTGTCGCTTGAAAAGAGCTTCGGCTATTGCTGCTTTTACAAGACAAGAGGTTATAATACGTCCTCTGAGCAGCGCTATGTCTTCAGGGCAGATTGGAGGCTACAGCGAGTCACTATCACAAAGTCCTAGAACATACATGCAGCTCGCTCTCATACGCACCCTGAATGACAGGCACACACAGAGCTGTGGTAACAGTGAACAGTGGTAGAAACGTTATGGATTTTTTTTTACCTTCCACCATGATTTGTCCCTAGGTGCTAGCTGTTACAACTAAACAAAACTACGATCACAAACAAAGCAAAGTCTGTCCATCAGTCCGTCTGTCTGTCTGCCCCATTCTCATGAATACAATATATCAGGAACTCTGGGAGGGAATTTAATTATATCTGGCACAAACATTAATTTGGAGTCAAGGATGAACTGATTAAAATTTGGTGGTCAAAGTTAAAAGGTCAAGGTCACTGTGACATCATGATGTTCTGTAAAAACACTTCTAGCTATTATTCAATGCTGTAACTCAGGAAGGAGAGATTTTGGCCATATTTCCTGCAGCTTGGCTGGTTGGCTGAAGCGTACAACCGGTAATTCTAGTTTTTTTTTTTTTTTTTTTAGATCAGATTTAAAATCCATCCAAAATAGTCACAGAAGCTTTTTAAGAGGCAGTTGAATAGGAAATAAAAGAATGACAGAAGAAATAACATTAAATACAAAATTTATTGAGGTGCCAGTAACAATCTGGGAGGTCCCAGCTCAAATGAAGGCCTGTATATTCCCTCTATGACTCTTCAGATATTTGTAAGCTAACGTTAGCTTTGTCAGGAGGTTCGGTTAGTCAAGCAGCAGTTACTGGGTGTAAATATTTAGAAACAGCTCATTTAAAACTCTACTTAGCAAACACTCAAGTTACAGCTCGGCCGACACTGAATGTGGGAAGTTGAATTGTGTTTGAAATGAAGCCAGACTGATAGATGAGTGTTTCTAATGCTACAATAACAGGACTTTAATTCATGTGGACTCACTTTTGGGGTACTCCTGAGGCCTTCTGATTGGTAGATGAGCTGATGGCAGGCTCTCTTTTGGAGTTTTGCACCGTCTGGTTTTCCTCGTGTCTCTCAGTGCGTTCAGCACCGGCTCCGTCTGCACCTCCTGCAGGAAACAGGACAAGCTCATTTAACAAACACTGACTGACATATGAGAGGTAAAAAAAACACCACCTGTATCTTTGTATGTGCGTGTGTGTGAGTGTGTGTGTTTTATCCTTTTGCCCAATTTGAAACTTATACCCACATCAGTAATGAGGCATCAACATTTGACCCACGCTGTTTCCATATTTCACACAGACAGCTTTGTTCTCCTTTGAAAAACTGTCTGCTGCTTTGGAATTTAGTGTGTGTGTGTGTGTGTGTGTGTGTGTGTGTGTGTGTGTGTGTGTGTCTGAAGACCATAGGCGGATCAGTGTACATGAACTGCATGTCGATGTGTATTATCCATCCTCCTTGGCGAGTCAGTTAACTCCTTATTACAGCTGTGGTTGTATTTGGGGCCGGAGGCTGTGACTGAGAGGAGTGTAACTTTACAGCTAGATTGAACTTCTCATGGATTTTGGAGGAAAAAAAATAAAAGTATCTGGACTGAATTCAGCTGATTCTATTCAGGGCCGCCGCCGCCAATGATGATGATGATGATGCCGCCATCCGCAGTCTGAGTTGGGTTGTCCTCCTCAGGCAAGACAGAGAACATACTCTCAAAGAAAACATGGTTTCCAAGCAAGTAAACAGTTACTGCTCCGGAGCTGCCAACTCTCTTACACATCTGGCACAGGATTAAATTATCAGGCGTAGGTGTTTTGTTTTCAACCTCTGCCTCTACCTGCTATCTTACACTCACACAAGCGATCTCAGAGATAAGTGAAAGTTGTACCACGTTTTTAGTTTCTTGGAAAGAAAGCTTTGCAGTGTTGGCAGCATCTGCAGCAGCTGCTTACAAATAAACACTGTAAATAACAAATGTAAACAGGTTTTTTTTTTTTTTATATCCTGAAGGTGTTTTAACTTGTTTTATGATTTTGCTCTGCTCCAGTAACCTCAGGTAACCTGGCATCACTATCATCATCTCACCCTCACACTGAGCCAACACCTAAAAAAAGACAAAGACTGGGAAACTGAAAGTGTTGAAATGGATAGAATTTTTAAACACATACCTCCCAACTTAAAAAAAACCCCACACATAGCGCCTCGGAGCACAAACACTGCTACACACTCCAAATAAACTCAACTGCAGAGCCAGTCCCACCGACACAGCACCTGTTCTGTGCTAATATTACTGTCAAGTATTTATTCACAACCCGAATCCAGACAAATTTGCGCGGCCCTAAAACTAAGATTAGCACCGTCTGTCCTCCAAAAACAATCTGCTGCACAAACATGTTTATAGCGCAGTGTCTTGGAATGAGACAAGGGTAAACAACATCCTGCCAAGGCTACAACGTAATTGTGAACACGCTCCCAATTGGCCCTACAATGTGGGATCTATCTTGATTTGTGGTGAGACCGTGTCATACCTCTTTAACCAAGGAGAAGAGATTATTTAAACAAAGTAGCAGCAGTTTGGCAGCTTCCTGATCTGCACTGTGCTGCACGGTGACAGCCACTCTGCACCAGGTGGAGCCGTGACATGACGGAGGAACGGCTGCCTTGAAATATTCTGCACATCTGGCTACGACCGACCTGACTGCACATGCTTGGTCCTGCACACAGGCCTCAGCTGACGCTCAACCCTCTGAGGTCGAAGGGTATTTTCTCCATTTTTTTATATTTTCTTAAATTCACTTTTTTTCCAAAAAAATACTTGAATATAACTTTATATATATATATATATATATATATATATATATATGTTTTATATAATACTTTAAGAACATATTTTTACAACTTTCTAATGACGCAAAATTTGTCCTTGAGCTCCGTGTAAACAGATAATTTGCCCCAAATGCTTAAAAATTGAAGCCCTGTTTTTCAAATCTCTTGTGGAAACAAACATTTACTGATGTGGCTGAATTGTTTTGTTGCTTGAAATGGGTTTATCAAAGTCTTAGGTTCCTAAAAATAGCAAAATATATGAGTAAAATAGTAGATAAATGTATAATAAATGCCTAAAATGGGCTTCTTATTGGCCTTCTAGCTCTGGCTGTGAGCTACATCTGATCTTGCAAGAATATGAACCAGAGGTCAGAGAGTCTACAAATTCTAACAACATTTAAACCACATTTCTACGCTGTAGATATTAATAGAAACATGTCGAAGAGCTCAGAGGGTTAACTACCCGCCACACACATCCTTCAGCATCTCTATTATGTTGATGTGAGGTTTCTGAGACGCGACCCTCAGAACAAAAGTGCTCTCACTCACAGCCCGGCCACTGAAGCGTATTGTCTCTTTGTGTTTCATGCTGCAGCAGTCAGATCTCCTTACACAGATCTCTAAACATTTGGCTCATGAACTGCGCCTGATTCATGGTCCTGTGTTCTCACCACTCCCCGTGATCGCGCTGACCACAGCCCCAGCCCGGTGTGGGCCGGCCCGGGCCTGCACATCCTGTCTCACATCAAAAGAGCTGCACCGCAGAGCTGAACTGACAGCCTCTCCACTGAGGCCTGCTCTCTAGCAAATCCCCTCAACTGTCTGCAGAGAGCGCCGGCGTTCTCAGGGCTGACCCTAACACAACACAGCGTGGGCCAAGTGGACCTGTCACCCTGACACCTCATAAAGCTCCCAGCACGTCTCCCCGTGCTCCATGGGAAATAGCCGAGGGCTAACAACACAATGAGCTCCTCGGTCCAAGACAGGCTGGGTGGTTTGTGTAAGTACTCCACCAGGGATGCCAAGGGCAAACACAAATACATGATTTCAAAGAAAATTAAAGCATTATGGGAAACCAAACACTAGTGAGGCAAAGTGCTCCTTTTATCCTGTGTTATTTTACTTCCTGGATGGTTTTTTTTGCTTTTGCTCTGTGAGTCTTGAGCCAAAAAACAGGCGGTGACTTCCAAAAAGGGATTAGAGAAAATTTTTTTTTTTTAAAAATGACTTCAACAATTAAGAATTCCTATTTTACAACTCCCTCACGCTACTGCTGATCATCGAAGGAACACTCTGCAGCCGCTGGCGCCAGTGAGTGACTCACTAATAGCTGATGCAGAAAACTACCCTGTGTCAGCGCTTGATTATCAAATTAAAGAAAATGTAAAAAACAATAAAAAACCAAAACCTAAAGGACGAGTTATTAGACGTTTTATCAGAAGGCTGTCAGGTGTTTTTCCTGCTGTGGCCTGACCTCTTCCCAGCCTGGGTGACCACCGAGGGTTTGGTGCTTGCTTTAACAGTAGCTGTGGCATGCACTGAAAACACCACCCATGGGAAAGTCATGGCTTCTCTCAGTGAAAAATCACAGACGATTATCTAATTTATTTTTTTTTGCTGCTTTAACTCAAACATAACTGCATTATTACAAACACTGTACTGCCTCCCTCGACAGCGACAGGAGGAAATACCTGGTTTTCTTACAGCAGAGGACTTTGTTTCTCCACAGTTTCTCTTCAGGAGGCTCTGAGCCTCTCTTCTGACTGGCTGACCATTTTCTGAGTGATCCAATAAAAATATAGCAGATTTCAGGTAAAAACACTGAGAAACCAAATCCTGCAAGGTTTGGATGGTGGGTCCAGGTGGGCGGGGCTTGGTGACTGCTTTGTTGTGACATCACAAAGTTCCAGAAGTCCTGACGGCTGGTTTTAAGGCTCAGTTTCTGAATACAGGCTGTGTGCATTTCTCTGTGGACTGAGGCTTTGATACTTTCACAGTATTAATATAGAAGCTAGAGCTGATCTATAATCACACTACACATGGGCAGAGACCTTTACACTGGAGCAGCTTTAATGTTTAAGTTTTATAGTGTTGCAGCAGTTATCTGTGTGTACTGTGTGTTGCTGTGGTTCAACCAGGGGTCACACTCACCTCAATGGGCCGGTGTGGGGCTGTGGACAAATCTACCTGGAGACAGAAACATAGGAGCCATGATTAGAGACGTCAATGTAAAAGGAAAAAAATTAAATAAACACCATAGTTACGTCATCTGTAAAGAACACTGTCTGTTCTGAGGAAGCTCCCCTGACAGGTGTGGGTGGGAGGAATATTTCATGAAACTTACAGGAAGACAAACAGCAATTCAGTTTGGATGTTTATATATATATATATATATATATATATATGTGTGTGTGTATGTGTGTGTGTGTGTGTATGTGTGTGGGAGGTTAAGTTATTTTCCACATGTCACTCTGCATGCCACGGGCGCAGCAGGCAAAAGTGATTTGGAGACTGAGCATTGGTTCTCGTTCAATGTGTAATACATTCAAGAGGAATTGGCACAGAGGTTTTCATGCACACATGCAGCTTGATGCACAAAGACACAAACAAAATAAAAAAGACACACACAGACACACACACACTTCAGCCTTCATGTTCAAATCAACCAGTGTTTTTAAAGCTGCTCTGCTCAGCACATTCCTCCAGTATGTCGGCACGATGCTGTGCAGATTCCAGCTGCCTCTGCAGGAAGTTGTACAGGTGTTGATGGCAGATGACAGAACAGGCTGAACTCTGACCAACCACAGCGCCTCTGAGGCTGCTGGGTATTCAAGGAACGCTTTAAATCACTCCCAAAGATCCTGTCTCATCATCGGATCGACCGACCGACCCGTTTGAGTTATTTCACAAATATGATCAGAGACAATAAGTAAAATATTATCTCTCCTCTCTCTGGTTTTCTCTCCTTTCTCTCCCTCCCTTCTAGTTTCCTTTTTTTTCTCCCTCTGGCTCACATCCAGCTCATAACTAGCGACTGTCTACCACACTGCAGTGTGTTTATGCCAAAGACAAGCCAAAGAAACTTAACACACAAAGACTGAGAAAGAGGCAAACATACACAGAGAGACAGAGGGAGAGAGACAGAGAGAGAGAGAGAGAGAGAGAGAGAGAGAGAGAGAGAGAGAGAGAGAGAGAGAGACAGATGGTCCCCAGGTGAACTTGAAGCATCCTCACAGAGCAGACATGTGGTCTGCTCACTTGGCTTGTTGAAACATGACAATTATTCAACTCCAAAACCGCCATAAAGTAACAACAATCATGGCAGAGCGAACAAGATGAGCAGCTTCACAGATGGCAGAACTTACAAGAACCAATGGAGCATGTAGGGATGGATGTATTTTGATAGTATGTGTCTCTTTGCAGTGTCAGCGCCTGCAGCAAGTCATCCGACTTTTCTGTCTCTGCCTCCTGGAGAAGGAGCTCTGCTTCTGCTCAAAAGGTTTCTAGCTCGACACATATAAATGATCAATCTGAGCCCCGGGTGGCATGTAAACACGCTGCAGTCTGGGAGCCTCGAGTGAAAACATCTGTATTTTTTTTTTTTTTTAAACAAACAAGACATCAAGCAAGACTGACATTTGTGCTTTGCAGAGATGTTATCGGAGTCACGATGCTGCAGCCCCTTTGGAAAATACTCTCGCTGAAACAGCTAATCTGCCGTGGAAAGTTTCAGCACAGCTTCTTGAGATGCTATCAGTATTTCTTTCTTTGTGTTACAGAAAGAAGAAAAGAAGAAGCAGCAGAAGCAGCAGCAGTGTTTTAAGTGCCTGCCATCGAGGCGCAGCGCCTTCAAAGAGACGAAAAGCCTGCGCGCAACGAACTGCACAAGAGTCTCGGTGTCTTTTTTTTTTCTTTTCTCGTTTCACCTCTGTGAGATTACACCTACTGTACTTCTAAGAGCGCGCGCCGCCAACTTTACAAGCAGCTGGGAAACTTATCTGGCGCTTTATGACACTGTAAAGCGTTTTACTTTGCCGCTCGTAGCCTTGTAGGATACTGTTGACAGTATCTGTGCATAAATATTTACGCGCAGAGAAAAGCTACAGACGCGCTGACGACAGTGAGTGACTTTGCGAAGTGTCTCGTTGCGCACTGGAAACGAGAAGCCGAAGCAGAGCACACAGTGATTGAGCCTACCTCTTGCAGATAACCTGTCAGGTGTAATAAGATCGCCACGCTGGACGCCACCTGAAGCAATCCCATAACAGCGAGGGTCCCGAATAGGAGCGGCCGGTAAGTGGGCTCCGAGTTCTGCACCGGGTGGAAGCGGTGCTGCCCTGCCTCCATGTGGACGTTGTTCCGCAGGTAGCCTCTGTACTCGTTGTGGGTAGCTGCCATGATGCGCGCTCTGTGTGTGTTGCTGCTCAGCCCCCGGGCCAGGTCCCAGACTCAATGCAAGGGAGAAAGGAGGAAGGAGACAACAAGAGTCCCTATAATCAGCGGTGGGTGGGCTGAAGGCAGCTCGTTTCCCTCTGCAGCCAATCACAGGGGTGCTCCGGTGCTCAGCTGAAGACCGACGGAAAAGACCGAAACAAGACTGGCAACCGGATCGACCTGAGCGCACGACAGGTAAAGCGGGCTCTTTATGGCTCCAGAAACGCAGGAACACGTAATCCACCCCTTCCGCGCGTCCACACCCCCGGTGACACACACACTCTCTGCAGCGAGGCAGCGTTCACACAGCGGGGATGCAGCGGAGAAAAAACTGTGGAAGACGAAAAAAAAAAACCAAAAAACTTTTAACCCATTAGTTAACAGTTTACACACCACAGTCAAACTTTGCAAAATAAAATAAATGAATAAATATTGCAATCAAATGCAAAAAATTAAATAAAATAAATAGAAAAATTAAAAAAGTGAAAAAAACATTGCAATCAAATGCAAAAATAAAAAATAAAACAAATACAATGAAAAAAATGAATTAATATTGCAATCAAATGCATGAAAACATAAAAATATTTGAAACCGAAAATTTAAATCAATGAATTGGTAACTGTTTATTTTATACAGAAAAAAATGATTTTTTTTTTTTAATTATTAATTTTTTTAATAATTTTTTTTATTAATGTGGTACTTTATGTGGCAATTAATCACGTGTCAACCTCTGAATTTACATTATTCTGCACAGTGAAAAAGAAAAGAACAGGACCTTAAGAATAAGGTAGAGACATAAAGTTGTATATAAATCCATGCCTTTAAAAATTATGGTGTAAGACTAGATCCATGTTTATTTCAGTTTGTCACATACTTGATGTGATGATGTGATGTGATGTGGCAACTGAGACTCATTCAGTCATCCAGAGTGAATTGCATTTTGTGTTCTGTTCAACCATTAGTCACATCAGACAAAAACTAATTCTGAAGAATTAACTTCACTGTTTATCCATCCAGTAGCTTTGAATATTGTCATGCAAAACAGGAACCATGTGGTTAATTGACCCAGAGCTCACCAGCATGACTGACGGACTGATAGGTTATAATTAAAACATTCCTTTCTGCTAAATACCTAGAAACAGCTATTCATGCATTCATCACAACTTATTTTAATGTTTTCTGTTAAGCTGGAATTGACAAAAAGTCCCTGGCACGCCTCCATGTTGACCCTCCAACCTAGACCCACAGTGGCTCCTATGGGCCTCTGACGCACATGAGGAGACCATATAGATAGAGTCATTACCACCTGCTGACATTAAGGTATTTTTCACCCACACTTTAAAGGAATAGTTCAACATTTTGTCAAATATAATTATTCACTTCCTCAGAGGCTCTGAGCCTCTCTTCTGATTGGCTGACTGTTTTCTGACTGATCCAATAAAAATATAGCAGATTCCAGATAAAAACACTCAGAGAAACCAAATCCTGCAAGGTTTGGATGGTGGGTCCAGGTGGGCGGGGCTTGGTGACTGCTTTGTTGTGACATCACAAAGTTCCAGAAGTCCTGACGGCTGGTTTTAAGGCTCAGTTTCTGAATACAGGCTGTGTAACATTTCTCTGTGGACTGAGGCTTTGATACTTTCACAGTATTAATATAGAAGCTAGAGCTGATCTATAATCACACTACACATGGACAGAGACCTTTACACTGGAGGAGCTTTAAAAGAATAGTTTGACATCTTGGGAAATTTGCTTTCTCATGCACGTACACTAAATATAAAGCTGCAGCCAGCAGACAGATAGCTGATGTTAGCATAAAGACTTGAAATGGGGCGAGCTCTGCCCAGAAGTAACAATATCCACTTACCAACACCTCGTTTACACATTAAATCTCCTTTGTTTAATCCTTACAAAACCAAGGTGTAAAAAGGACAAGTTGTGACTAGTGGGCAACCAGCAGAGACTCTGCAGCTCAGTCCCTCTGGACCAACCCTGTCTCCTGGAAATTGCATTTATATAGAACTAAACTGCAGCAGATTTTGTAGGAAATGTAATTGCTGACTGGATTATGCTCGCTAGGCTAACCATCTGCATCTGCTGTAGCTTTATATTTATTCTATATAGACATAAGAGTGGTGTCAAATCTGATTTTCTAACTCTCTGCAAGAAAGAAAATAAGGCAAAGATCTCGAACTATTGCTAATAGTTAGTTCCATAGTCAGTTATTACTGTAGTTGCTAATTTCTCCCATTTCCTTTAAATGCAGAATGTTCATTTTAAACCATTAAATCTTTATTTTCTACTTGTAAAATCAAGTGTCATTCACACAAGTAAAAGTTATCTTAATATTCCTCATATAAAGGTAAAATAACATGCACTTAAAACTACTCCAGTAGCAGTATAAGTGTGACTCTCTGTGGGTTTTTCAACATGAAACCACTCGTTAAGTCACTGTGACCGGGCCAAGCCAATATTTCCAGTTATGCTTTCCGGAGTAATCATCTTTATCAGTGACTGGCTCATGAAACAGGGGAAATTCAAGGCACTCCCCACCTGACAGGTATTCCCTTGTCTACCAAAAGCAGTTTAAAAAAAAAAAAAAAAAAAACTCCTCAACTGAGACGATGAAATGCAACTTTTAGCTAAAAAAAAAAAAAAAAAAAAAAAAAAAAAGTGCTCGCCAGCACATGTAATTATTTTGGTGGAGGGCGGATGACAACCAACCTGGATTTCCACTGTTACACCAAGTGAAGAGACTAATAACAAACCTGAAAACATCTCGTCATAGTGAGTCATATTGTGTACGTGTGTTCGTCTGGCCACAAATATCCCTGACAGGCCTTCCAGACAGACGTCATTTCCTCTCACCTTCATTTTTCATCTCACCACAGTCTCATGAATGGAAGTTACACCTTTTGGTTGCATTATACCGCCAAAGATTCCCCAAAGTGTTGAACAATAAACAAAGACTTTCTAAACTATGACAATGACGACAACAATTTTTTGCATTGTAATGATGATCTCGATTTATGACATAAATAAAGAAATGTCTGTTTTTTTTCAGCTGTTAATGAAAAACCACATTAATAAATATTTTTAAACAGTTCTGCAAATTTCTCTATCCATAATGTGCAAATGCCCTGTTTGTAACTGATTTTTTTTCTCTCCTTATTTCTGTCGCACTTTTTGTACACTTTTCTTTCTTGCTGAGAGTTAGCTGAAAAGATTGACACCCCACTCTAATGTATGTTTACTGAATAAAACTACAGCTAGCAAGCAGTTAGCCTAGCCTAGCCTAGCATAAACACTGGGATCAGGGGGGAAAGCTATCTTAACTATATGCAAAGGTAAAGATATCCACCTTCAGCTTCAAACTTCATTCCTTTACTCACCAACAGGTGGAAACAAACACCAGTTAACTCTTGTCTCGATCACGTCTTTTCTTCCACTGAAGTTAGCATGCTAACCAGCTAGCCCTGGCCTGTCTTGTCACTTTTTGATAGTGTTTCACTGTAGCCTCTAATCTGTCCTGAAGATGTTGCGCTGCTCAGAGGACGTATTATAACCTCTTGTCTTGTAAACACAACGATGGCTGAAGCTCCACCAATCACCACCAATCACTGCTGGAAAGAATGAAGCATAAGTTGTAGTGGTTCCTACATGCTTCCGGTCTTTTTTGCTAAGCTAATTTAACTTCCTGCTGGCTGTAGCTTCTTATAAAGCATACATACTGTATATAAGCGTTATTGATCGTATCACTTATGTTTCAGAGAGAAAGCAAGAACACATTTGACACACTATTCCTTTAAAGCAGTAGGCTATTAGTTGATTTTTTTAGCCACATATGAGCTTATTTTTGGCTACTTGTGTTAGCAAAAACCACATCAGCAGAAATAGCAAGATTAGCATTTATTTTGTTCTTGGCTTCCTGACAAATCTAGGTTTAATATTCACTCTACTTTGAGCTCTGTGTTTGGTCTCCACCAGCTCCTGAGGGAAATATCTGGCTGATTAGTTGCTAAATGCTCCATTATGTTCACCAGCTAATTGCTAACTCATCCTGTCTGCTGTTTGGTGCGGAACAGGTAGCGTACAGTCATTTTGTTAGAGGTTTTTCCTCTGAAAATGGCAACTTGTTGCAGTTGGAAACAAGGTTGGTGAGAGAGGTGGGAGTGAACCAAAAGAGTAAAATTGTGGTCTGTTAAACCAAAACAGTGATTTAAAAGATGCTGAAATACTCCTGCTGGGCTGCAGAGTGAGGTGATTATTCATTCACATTACACACAATCATTTGATCTATTGTTAATATAAAAATATTGATTAATGCAGCTTTAAATGACTAAATGACAGAACTTACTGTAATAATTCCTGTGTGCTTGAATGGCAAACTTAAGATCTGTGTCACAGCTTCAGCTACCCACCTAAAAAAAGCAAAACATAAAAAAACAACAAAAACAAACAAGATGATACTATTAATTCTCACCTCCTATTATTATAATCTGCTTACACATAACATTCTCCATAAAAATGCACAATAAGGTATTGTCACGTGGTGCAGCTGGACCACCTCATTAAGGCCGAGTGTCCACAGACGGCCCGGCGGTCACACATCGTGGCCGTTGCAGCATCTAAACATGGCAGTGGCTCCTGTTAGCCCAGAGAGTGACCTCCCTAACCTCTCCTGTTTTCCCACTGCCAGCAGAACAACAGTGTAGTATTTGAAAACCCAGCAGAAAACGAGCCTCCTTTAGGAACAGGAGTTATTTTAGGCAGAAGCAGTGACAATGGAAAGGAGGGGTGGTTGTAGTAGGTTGGGTGAGTTTGCGAAATCCAAGTGAATTTCTGGGTGCCAGAGGAGTTCATGGGAGAAAGCTGGCTTTTTATATGTGCCCCCTCCACCACCACCCCCCCACCCCAACCCTTAAAACCTCATGGCGCTACAATCATTTAATACTCCATCATTATGGGCTTTCTAACTTCATAAAACCACACACATGATTTCGGTTATGTTGTAGTACGACCACATTCCCCCTTTACTATTGCGCTCGTTTTTACAACGTTTGCATAGAGCTGCCTCTGTTGATGTTTTGCTTCTGAAACTTAGCACAAGGACCGGAGTCTGTGCTCAGCCAGAAGTTTCTCCTG